GGACTCCTGGATTAAACTTAACAATTGTTGGTGACACTGCTAGATATGGTTCAATTGTGCAGTCAGTGGTGCTCGTGTATCAGATATATCGTGTTTGATGCGCAGCTGTCCGATAACTGAACGAAATGAACATGCCATTGCTTCCGATGCCTGGCTACTTCTCCCTCACTCCTATTCCCCGGTAGTCGAAACTGTAGCAACTGGAAACTGCACTTGGTACTTGGTTTATAGCCGCTTTACTGAGTTAAACTGGTCTTTATCATGAAACAGATGCGTAGTGCAGCTCTCTAAATGGGGAATATCGGGGGATTCGAACAAATACGATGCACCGTGCAGCAGGCAATAAGTCGCCGCTCTCACACGCTTCAATATATTTGACTCTGTCCCCGTGTGTCCGTTTGCTGTGGCACTCATCGTCTTAGGCTAGTTCTGTTCTTATTTGACCATTGTTGTTTCTTCTACTGGGCTGCTGCGCTGTCTCAATGTTGCGGGGATAAGAAAAACGACACAAATGGCTGGGAAATCGGTATATGTGGTTTCAAGTGATTGACAAGAACGAACCAAAAACAATGCACCATTTGAATAAGCAGTCCACACCGTCAAGCACAAGCATGATTTAAAATGACACGACACCGAGTGTCTCAGCGAATGGACTCACAGGTGGATCCAGACATACAACGATGTTTGCATGTGAGGGCGCACGACTCGCTGTTCGCTACATCGCCCTGTGTAGGAAGGACTGACGGTAAGATTTCTTTGTGGGCCCAACACCAAGCGCCGGATCGGTATCCAATTCCGTCTGGAATGCTCAGTTTCACAAGCCATTCTACGGTTGTCTTGATGGTCCCACTTTTTTGGCGCTCCTACTGTGTAGTTGAAACGCATCTGGCAATGCACCACCAAACAAACCCATGTCGAGTACTGATGAGTACTGAAATCAAAAAGTCGTGCCGATGTGCTATCCACAATTTACCTTTCTGACAACCGCTTCTGGGGCTGCTCACGATGGCAGACATCGCATCTTCCTTTTCCAATCAGGCGAGTTCGGTATTCACTGTGCATATGGAGCTATATGGCATCGGTCGCTTGGGACGTGCACAACGAGTGTATAGAAAAAAATGATGGCAATTTAAAAGGTGGACATCTTATTTCAGAATGTCTGACAAGTGCTGAAGTGTTTTTCACTCCGCCGATGAAACTGAACACATGAATTCCACAGAATGCGAAATTCGGTTACCTGATGCGTCACAAAAAGCTACAAAACGGTACATCCCATAAACGTGGTTTGGCTAATCAGTTGGCACCTGGTAAATTTCTGTAATCGCTGCAGGTGTCATTCTATATGACTCGTTTTATGGCCTCTGACTTATCTGGGAAAGTGGATCCTTCACAAATATTTCGACTGATTAAGTTGGAAACATCCGAACCTCCGAATAACTCTTCCGCTCTATGTGACAATATCTGTTGACTACCTTGAGATTTTCAAACAGTTATACCGACAGATCTTTTCTCGCCCAAGGTGCATCCCAAGATGTCCATCAGACTGAAGTCACGCGGACGTGACTGCAGCACGTCGACAGTACCAAATTTCTACATCCGTTGGCTTACTCTACTGGGATTATCCGGAACCACGCTGTTGACCAGAGAAATATCCTCATGAGACTGATACCAAGCATCGAATGTGAAACCATTATCTGGCTTTTAGTGAAACGAGTGGATTCCGGAAGCAAGTTATCCGCTCAGTTGGAGTTCAGGCCTATGTGCAAACGGCCTTCGATTGCTCTTTGAACACCGTGATAAGCTTTGTTTTGGCCTGCTGATTGGATCGTTATATTGGATTATTGTTGTTATTATTACTAATATTATATTATCATATTGGATTATTATATTCCATTGACCGATAGGTTTTTGCTGCTACTCACGTAATTCCGCGATTTCTAACTCGGCCATTTCTGTTATGTAGTTTTGGTTAATTTTTCTATTTTTCTGGGTCACTTTTGTCAGTCCCAGCATAACTGTGTACATCCATTCCTCAGCCGGTTTTTCTTCGCTCTGAACCCGTCACACACAACCCAGCAGCCAATTAGTCACGACTGTTCACGGCGCACTACAGTACGATGCTGCACACAACGTTAGTAGTGGCTGCTACACAGTTGGGAGTCTTTCCATACATAAACCTAGGCATCGACCACCTATCTGACTTTGTCGGAATAAACAGCTGATCTGGCAGTCATTACAATACGACTTACTTGACTTGGGCGTTACGTGGTACCATCCTGATTGTTGCAGTCACAAAATAGCACTTGTGAGCGTCACCACACGCATATTATGCTGAAAGGTTTATTGTAATGCAGATGCGAAACAATACATCCCGTTAGCATGCCACTACTCCACTTTAACTGTCTGCCATATCCATGTTTTTAAAGTCCAGGCCTCGTTTTTTGTGAATTGATAGATTACACTGGCGTTGTCGTCCGAAGTGCAGTTGGAATTTAAAGGTCGCGAGATGATCTTTGAAATAGACTTTGATGAAATGATGCTTCAAAAAAACACATCCGTTTACGTTGGTACACACTGAACGTCCCTATGACACCATTTTAACCGACACGTAGTTTTACGGCTGAAAGTTTGAAGAACCTGGTAATTTATTCACTCGGCCTGAACAAGTTTTTGTGTCAAGGACTAAGTGTTAAAAAGCGGTAAATTAGCAGATTGTTCATCAAAACTTTCCTAAAGTATTAGAGTTTGCTCCCAGTTATTAAATTTTTTGGAGTGTCACGTTTGATGGCATAACTGATCCGAATCCTGTCCGGAACATCTAAACGTCTGTAACATGTTAAGATTTTTACAGGAAGTTGCAAAGTTCTATTGCATACAAGACTCGCCATTTGCCAAGGTATGACTCAAGTGCATTTAGGGGTGAAGGAAACTAAGTAAAGTTTTACTTTCCTCATCACCATCGACAGCATAACATCAGTGTCCAACACTGATGCTTTGCCGCCGTACAGCCTTGGTTCATTTAAAAGCCATATTGTGAAGAAGCGAATAGATGTGAGCGAAGAATGAACTTAGTACTAGCCTATCACAATCATTCCGTGGCGTCTGCACCTCCAGACACTCATTCAAGAAATTTGGATAGAAAGTGTCATCAAGAAGGCCATTGACATCATTTAACAGTCATATCTTGCAACGTCCCCGACCGGACACATGGAAAATCACGCTGTCCCCATCAAGGCGAGTCACATCATTTAACAGTCATATCTTGCAACGTCCCCGACCGGACACATGGAAAATCACGCTGTCCCCATCCTGGAAGGCGAGTCGCAGCGACCACACCCCGATTCGTCATCTCTTTCATAACCACTTTACTTAAGGTTTTTATCATCTTAATTTTTCTTTCGAATCATCTCGAGTTGATTGTGGTGCGTTTTGCTAGGCAATGGAGGAATCCTGTGATTCACTGACCTCTCCTGAGCTTCATCACGAGATGTCAGAAACGTTTAGTTTTGCTTTTGTGCGTTACTCCGATTCCGAGCTGTATTTTGATGTGGGTAAAATGGTTCCCCCCCAATGATCTGGCCAAACGGATTTTGGCACGCATTTGTGCCCTTCCCAGATATAGACTCTGTGACCTAGTTCCTACATTCCACTCGGTACGCTCACATCACGTTCAGTTTTAGTTTACAGTGCCTTTGGAAAAATATCCACTAATATGTTGACCGTCGTCATCTTTGCGACTCAGGCCACCAATATCCTTCTTCCTAACAAAGTAGCTTACCATAATATGAATATGTTTTCCAAAATCTGGAATAGTGACTTTTGTTGGTAACCTCGCAAACCTATTCACCTTGGATATGTCGAACATCACAAGCCTTCCTATTGGTCTCTCATATTCGAATTACGAGACAATAGGCATGATACATAGAAAAGTAAACCCATTTTTCAATAACGCACTGAGAACGGTGATTTCAACCGAATCATTGATTGACTATACGAAGTAGGTATGGGCCTGAACTGCGATCTTGTTTGTCGGGTATGATAGTGTCCTGTAAGTGTGTTCGAATGTTTCACTACTTCGGTAGTTTCACAGCCACACATGGGCCTGCTTGTTGAGCTTCTTGCTTTTTTCACTTTTCTCACAGGTGTGTGATGTTTCTTCGTTAGAGAAGACCCTCGGTCAAACTGTTCTGTTACTTTCGTTTGTGAATTGGCAGCGTAACAATCAGTGATCTGTACATTGTTTGACTTTCCGCTGTATCACGCCTAAGATGTGGTGGGTGTTGTCAGTTAAAAAAATCGGTAAGAATAGAGAAATGTACGCAGACATCAAATCTATTTGTTCCTTTGGTAACATCAGTTTTGCTTGCCCTTCTGTTTGGTTGACATACTACTTGCCACTTCGAATTTGTTTGCTCACACCTCTGAATAAAAACTAGGCATCAAACCTATCCACAAATCCTCGATTCATTTTCCATGCTACTCGACCTTGTCTACATGCAGCTTGTCACGGCACTGCGCTTTTACACACCAAGTTTCCCCGAATTCGAATTAATGTGATGAGGGATGTTTTTTATCTTTGACGCAAGATTATGATTGGGTTTTTGGTACTGTTTGGCCATTGGTTTCGTTACGACTAGTGTCTGACTGACGCCAACCTCATTACAGACCCCTGAAGTTAACCTCCTATCACCAGTAATGATGCTCAACATGGAAACTCAGGTTTTTCGTTTATTACTTCCTCCTGCGCTTTGAACAGGTTTTAAACAACTGGGACTTTCGTCAAAAAATCTTCTGTTAAGCCCAAATTTCATTGATGAATGTCGTCTTGGAACAAGGACAACTGAGGAATCGTAAACACTAGGTTTTTCGTTATTCCATTGTTAACATCTTTGAACCAATTGCCTTTGCTTGTCTGTTTCATTATCCTTTAATTTACAGTCCTACCTCACTTTCGCGTGTGATAATATCGTCCCTCTCCGCTTTTGCTTCTTATTATATAGGGATTCTTCCAAGCGAATATATGGTTTTTCCTCCTGATGCTTCTGCAAGTATTTGTATTTGAAGTTCTCGCCTACTTGAATCTACGCTTCTTTGGGGTCGGTTGGTTTCGGATTGTTCTCTCTATTCTCTTGTATACCGTGGCCCAAGTAAGTTTTCATAGGGTGTTTTCAATACGTTTCAGCCTTTGCCGTTTTATCCCTCTTTAGCATTTAGGATGAACCACTTTATCTGAAAACGACACTTGATTCATCTTTATTTATTTGTTTCCGAGATTGTTTCGTAATGTAGTGTCTATGTGAAGCTCGTGCTCACCTCACATCACCTGAAAAATAATCTTAAACGTACGTGTTTGTCGCTGCGTGGTCTGATCGATCGCGTAGTTTTTATTAATCTGCTAGAGGTACACCCAATAAATTTTATCTCCCACGTTTATCTGTGGTTATCGTTGCTTCTAGTCTCAAGCCAGTTGGCTTCAGCACGACTTTGGACACTTGTCGGTATTCAAAACTACAAAAATGAACCACTTGTTTCATGAAATTACCCTTGGTCTGACAAAAGGGGCCTCGTGTCACTGGTGGAACTATATGCACTCACAGCATCATGCGAAGCCCAATGTGGTAAGTTATTTATTCAACCGCTTTGCTTGTTCTTATTTAAATAAATATTATTGAGTTTTCTTACAGTTTTCGGTGTGCTACTCCACCTGAAGTATTAACCACTAATAAGTTTACCCGATTTTTCCAGAAACACATTGAGACCACTCAGTTATGTATCTTTCCATAGTCATCATCATCGTCATCGACAGCATGATATCAGTGTTCAACACTGATGCTTCACTGCCGTACAACCATGACTTATTTGAAAGCCTTATTGTAAAGAAAAGAGTAAAGGTGGACGTGGGAGGGACTTAGTGCTAGCTTAACACAATCATTCCGACGAGCCTACACCTCCAGACATTCACTCAGGCAATCTGGATGGAAACTGTCAACAAGAACGCCACTGACATCAGTTGGCAGCCATAGTGTGTAGTGTCTCTTTGCGCTTCCATTGCCCAAACTCTGCTCACTGACAGATTAGTGGACTAAACAGACTTAATTTCTAATGTGTGCTATTGCAAAGGCCCTAAGGAATGTGGCGTTGGAATTTTTTTTATTTTTGTCACCAGACTACCTTTCCCACTGATACATCATAGTCTTGTTCACACACCGTATTTTTTTGCGTGCCGTACTCAAAGATCTTCAAATTACCTACCCTACCATATGCACTACAGGAGCCTTAAGTTGTTTGCCGCTGAAATTCTCTGGTATGTGTTGCCAGGTTACCCTTTTGTTTCTGTTTCCAACCTGAAGTTATGCTTTGTGTTGTGTTGCTTTGTTCCGCCTTTTTACCTGATGTGTTCTTCAAGTGTATATCTACCTTTACTCGCCCTAACTTACCACATAACGGGATATTAACGATGCGATAGGTTCTGTGAACCAGACTGATTATTAGCTAGACATATGTGCAATAAATGCATGTCAGTCCTACTGCTGGCCACCCTGCTCATCCACCATAGGTATAGACCGTTTAGTTGCCCTTTACATAATTTGAATCTCTCTGTCATAAGTACATGTCGCTGGCTTCAGAACTGCCCCTACCCCGTTCACCCTTGGGTACACGCCGGGTAAGGGTTTTTCCGATTGGTTTCACACGCAGCTCAGGTGGCACTGACTGTTATGTGCGGTAGTCGATCGGCCTAGTTCGCAGTGACAGACGACAGCCGGGGACATGACGGCTCATAATCATTGTGTCAACACGCCATTCCACCTGACTTGAATCTTGCCGTGAACCTCACAGGACCGGGACAAACGTTGTTGCTTGGGATGAAATCAATAAGACATACTGCGAACAGATGATTGACCAGCTGTCGAAGTCTATTGAATTCAGGTCTCTTTTCTCCCTCTATACTCAGTTAAATTTCTTACTAATCGAAACAACCCCTTCTAATTCGTTCATCTCTTTATCTCTCTTCAGATCGACAAGGATCCAGATGTTCGGTTGGAGCCGGTGTTCGTGGTTGGTGACACAATGCCCATTCGTGCAGCGTCTAGGGACAATAAGTGGAGAACCCATCTGCCGTACGAATATCAAGCTAACTACTTCTTTTTTGGTGCGTCCAATCCCTTCTCACTGTTACCGTTGGCTTCATTCCACTGTAAGGTACAAGTTTCTAGTACTAAGTCACTAATGGTAGCTACACCATTTGAATCAGTTTCCGATGAGATAGACATGCTTGAAGTTTTCTCGACACCACTGACAATCGATGTTACTTTCATGCTGAGTTTTTACAGGAAATCGCTAAGGAGGAGCAGCCCCTATAAAATCGTCCGGTTCTGGGACGACACCCAAATCTGTTGCGTTTGCTGCAACTTCCTGAAGGCACCCAGTAAAACTCTACAGGTGGCTGTTTACTCATCATCGTAGGCAATCAACCGTACAATTCGTATAGTGATTACGGCTATCACAGTTTCCTTCCCTGACAATATTGGGGGTGGGTGGGTGGCACAAAACAGTCCAATCGTATATCGGTTGTTGCACGTCCCATCAGTGCGTGGGTCGTTGAAACTGTTGAATCATGTAATGGAGGTCCCAGCTCAGTTAAGGGAACACAATTGGACCATGTCTGTCAGTGTGTTTGTTGCGGCGTGTCTCGGGGTGGACCACTGAATTTACACATGTCGACCTTGTTTCCGCTGCCAAATGGTGACCTTTCTTGGTGATCATCTACATGGTTACATGAAGAAGCTCTGACATTCAATGCACGTAATGCAACCAGCGCAATCTATGGTGTTTTGTCTGATCATTTATCGCTCATGATCTCTTTGTATTAAGACCGCTCGATTGGGACCTCAGCATTGTCAATTCTATGCCTGTGCCGCACCCGACCTAAAGCTGCCACCTTGACGTGGTGGTCGGGCTTCAGTGCTGCAATGATCCCGCGGGCTACACTGGCTGGAACTTCGTTCCACAAGGT